GACTGGCAAACCCCCGGGGGAGGGCCTTCTCTGTGGCTGCTCTGGCCCTCTGGAACGATCTCCCCGTGGAGATCCGAACGCTCACCACCCTCCAGGCTTTCCGTAAAGCCATGAAGACCTGGTTGTTCCGGCAGGCCTGGGGCTGATGGATTTCTGGAATCCATCCAGGTTGTGATTGTTGTTGTTTTTTACTTTGTTTGTCTTTTGTCCTATTTGTACCCCCTTCCCACCTTTGCCGCCCCGAGTCCCTTGGGAGTGGGGCGGCATACAAATTAAATAAACATTCAAACATTATTTAAATGTGGAATATAATAGCAGTTTAGAACATACGATCTATAGTAACTAAAGATATATTAACATACAAATGTTGTTTAAAAGTACCCATTAAGAAATATAAAACTAATGGATAATACAAGGAACATTAAGCTGGATATATTGTCCAGAAAAATCTTGCATTGTATCTTTTATATGATTTCATCATCTTTTAATTGATTTAAGGAAAATTCCATTCTGTAGTATAAAATATCTGTAACTGCATCATGCTTATTAGTTCTTATTACAAATACTCATTCCATGAATTTTAATTCATTGAAAATGAATAGTACTTTTTTATAGTTCTCTAACATTTTAGGATAGAAAGGCAGTTTATATGAAAAATACATAGCTGTATGCAGCAGTGCGTTTCACATTTTGTTACCATCGGTTTGCCGCATGCCTGCTTTGCGGGTGCACGTGCCCCTTCCACGCACACGCCCGGCTTTCCATGCATGCGCTTTGCTCGCACACCTTCCGCACATGCACCCGGCCTCAGAAACTAAATAGGACAGCAGAGAGCCAAGGCGGGTGGGCGGGCCCACCAACGATTTCCACTAACAGTTCGGGCTAACTGGTCCAAACTGGCTGAATACCACCTCTGATTGGATGTATGAATCAAAATAAGAAACAGGTAGCCATAAACTACGTAAACATTCTGCCCTGTTAGGAATGATATGTCAACTTCTAAATAGAGAGATCATTAAATTTGATCATGGAAAGCAACCTGCAGCTTTGATATCTGTGCAATATGAAGGCCTTCATGAACTTATCTGAGTAGCCCATCGTGTGTCAAAAAGGAATTCAGCAACTTTTTAAATGAGCCTAGTATGCTGAATGAATAAAAACACATTTTTCCTTTACAATACGCTCAATTCTGTTTTACAGAGATCTATGATAATCGTTGATTCCTTTCAAACTTCTCTTTCAATTTTCCCTGTCTGAAATAAAATCGTTTTTCCAAGCTTGTTGCTTTTGGCAAATTTCATTCAATTTAGTTTGGGAGGCTGTCAAAACAGCCAACACTTTTTATTGTTATTTTTTCATTAGTCTTTCCACTTCAACTACAGTATAAACATAACAAGTCATTGGCATCAGCTGGGAAAGTGGTTAATATTGACAAAATATCGCCCTCTAGAGCCCTGTCAAATAATCCAGTTGCTATAGTAGGCCATTATATTTTGCCTGAATATAATGTATATTATATTCAGGAGTAGAAGAATACTGATCTTTGATACCCGAAGCAATCTTAACGTGTTCGTGTTCTCTGAGATACCTTTATATTGCCAAGCTAAATTCAGTCCCTTTGTTTGTAATGATATAGGACAGATTTCAAGGCAGAAAGGCTCCGTGGAGATACAATTCCCAACTTTTATTGGGAATTTGGATCTGCAAGTTGCTGCAACCAAACAAAAAAATCAATAGTTTGTGGCTCTATACAGGAACAAAGCAGTCCTCATATCCATCCTGAAGCCCTTTGTTGTATAGCATAGGACCATCACAGTAATATCAGACTTCCAGCAGAAAACAAAGCCATTCGTTGTCATGTTGGCTGTTGCAGTGCAAATAACAAATGGCCTAGCTGGATTCTGGCATTGACCACTGTCCCATTATAGCAAAATGTTTGCAAAGAAATCTTTCTTCTGTTATAGAAATCCTGATTCCTGGCCATGTTGTTAATTTTAGTTAAAGAAAAACAAATGTGACAACCTCAAATATTATGCAGGTAGTCCTCAATTTATGACCACAATTGAGATCAAAATTTCTAAGCAAGACAGTTGTTAAGGGAGTTTTGCCTCATTTTATGACCTTTGCCACAGTCATTAAGTGAAACACTGCTGTTAAGTTAGCAACACGGTGGTTAAATTAATCTGGCTTCCCCATTGATTTTGTCTGTCAGAAGATCACACAACTTGATCAAATTTACTCTGGGACACTGCAACCAGCAGAAATACAAGTCAGTTGCTAAGCTTCTGAATTTTGATCACTTGACCATGGGAATGCTGCAACAGTCATAAATTTGAAACAGTCATAAGTCAATTTTTCAGTCATGTTGTAACTTCAAACAGTCACTAAATGAACTGTTGTAAATTGAGGACTATCTGTATATCAAAAGAAAGTGCGATTGCTAACAGCGTATTTATGTTATCCATTTTTTTAAATTTCTAAATCTCAGCCTTTCAGAGAAAGTTAATATTTCTTCATATCTTTTAGCAAAGCAGAACCTATTATAAAAATGCATTTAGCTATGTGCGCATACTAAAATAGAATACCTTGTTCTATATCCAAAGCCAGTTTGAAAAATGGAATGTTTTAAAATGTTACTTTGATTTTATTTTAAACATAAGAACATAACCCAAAGTGCTGTGATTAGGAAGGATGATCTTCTCTAAGACTATCATACCAACTGCTCATAATCCCCTCAGATAGATAGTTTGAGATGAAGATGTTTGTTACATTTAAAAACTCCCCTCAAGACTATACAGTAAGGAAAACAATCATATTTCTAGAGCGTTATTTGGCTGGCAAAAATGATTTTTAATCCCCTCCTTTCCAAGCCTCACAAATCTGCAGAAAATTGACCTCCTGAAGCAACTTTCAGAAATTTGTGCAAAGATCATGGGTAGCCGTAGGAAGGAGAAATTCTGTCAAAAGAGAAATTCATACATGCAGTATATTGGATATAGCCTATAATATAGATAGAAAACAACGAAGTCCCTGTTCTTCCCCAGAGCTTTGGCTTTGTAGACGATCTTACAATTTCAGAATTGGGAAAGAAGCAATACTATAACAACACTGGTTTTATGGCTCAGTCCAACGATTTGACTTCTGTAGGGTTCCAATGACCAATAAGTCTCTAGTAAGAATGTACAAATAGGTCTGCCAAATTAATGGACAAAATTATTTAAAATATAAGAAAGATAGATTTTCGGAAAAACAGAAGTCACTAAAGGTTTGTGGATTTGGTTTTCTCTGGAGAGTTTCTTGATTTGTGGGAAGATATTTCCTGATGACTCTGCAGTACACAAATAATAGGCTTCATCAGATGGTTTGTGATTGCATGTCAGTGGAATAGCCAGCAATTCTTGATATCAGCAGGTTTCTTTAATTCTTTGCTGCGGGTATTCTAGAATAGTTTACAACATTATTGTTAACACCTTCTCCCCCACATCCATATACTAAGTACTCTTCTAAGTGAAGATTGGTTCAGAAATTACTGTTCACATCCTTTTGGATCTATTTTGGTATCTAAATGAATAAATAAAGATGGAAAATGCACATTATTTTCCATGTAAAGGATTTTTGACTGGTTTAGCATTTTCAAAACCAAATTGCGGTACTAGACTAGTAGATGCATTCATTCCACCAAAATAATACTTTTGGTTATTTACTCCAAATAATTCTTTCTTTACTTCATCAACCATTCAGTTAACATTATATTACCCATTGTATAACATTGTATCATTGTTAGAAAATGTTAAATGAAATGCCTGATTCCAGGGTTTATAAGGCAGGACAGTTCTAGAAAATGTAATGCAACTGCATAACAAAAGAAATAGATGCTAGATTCAGTTAAGTTTAATTAATGGCATGGTTTGATTAGGAATCAGTTAAAAATTGCTTTTGCATTTATATATTTTACCTACATTTGTAAAGAATATATGTAAAGCAATAAGACTTACTTGCAAGTAAATCTGCATAGCATTACATTGGGTAACATAAATAGTATGTAAGGAAAACATACTCCAACTCTTATTAGTTATATCTTAAGAATAGAATTTTAAACGAGTTCAAAATTCTATTATAAAACATTTGTTTCATACTAAAAAAAATCAGAACGTATAAAATACATTAAATGAAATATTCTCCAAAGGACTGAAAATAGTCTTGGACTAGCTAACACTTCAGATTTGAAAGAAAAATCTAGATTAAATCCTAGATCTCTCTCTATCTTAAAACAATAGATTAGACAACACACATAAGAAATGTGGGAATCTCAAGCGCAAAATAGAACACAATTCTGAATTGTTCACATTGCTGAACACATTGACTTGTTATCACAAGATAACTTTGTGTAGATATGCAAAACCTGTGTGCAAATTAGGAAGAGGTTTCCTTCAGCTATAAGAAAATACCTGGGTTTAGGTTCTCTTCATTCACTGTTTTCTGTGTGAACCTTATCCTGATATTCTCATGATTCAGGAACACTGCTGTCTTGTCATTTACTGTTTCTTTTTAGCTTACAAGGGGTAAAAAAAGGAAATGATAGATAATTGCTGCTTTTTGCATCATAGTTGACGCCAGATTCATAGCAATGAATTCTACTAGGGTACAGCACAATTTTAAAACCACACAAACCATATTTGAGTACATGGGAAATTTAATATCAATGGTGAGGTTTTTGTCTTTCAGGAACCCAATCTGGATGTAAGGCCAGAGTCTCTTCAGGCACCACAGCCAGATACTTTGGATAAACCAAAGTTGAAAGCTGGTGGTTCAGTAGAAAGTTTGCGGAGTTCCCTCAGTGGCCAAAGCTCCATGAGTAAGTAATGTATATAAAGTCAGCTATGCTCAATTTAGATGTAAAAATCTCAACCTAAGGAAACATTGCCTAGATAAGATGCTAATACTTTATTCATATTCGCTGCCTTCATCCATTCTTCTTTGCCCCATGCTTACCTGCATCTATTGTGGGGATGAATTATTTCAAGTTTTTTTTAAGTAGTTTGCCATTGCCTCCTTCCTAGGGCTGAGGGAAAGTGATTGGCCCAAGGTTACCCAGCTGGCTTTCTGCTTAAGAGGGGATTAGAACTCATTGTCTCCCATCTTTTAGCCTAGTGCCTTTAGCACTGAACCAAATTGACTATCTGTTAATCGTCTTAAGTAGAGAGAAAAGAAGATATCTTTTGCAAGCTGAATCTGAACCTTCAAATCTGAACTGAACTTGAGCCAAGCATCTTAGATAGTAGGGATTATTATCAAAGGAGTTTTTGTGGCTCTTCATATAGGAAGTAGTAGAGGGCTCAGTTGAAGACTAAGTTGCATTAAGGCTTGGGAAGAAGCAAAAGTTGTGCTAAGGCAAGAGCAGCATGCCACGTAGATTTGTAAACCACCCAAAGTCACTTAGGTGAGATAGGTGATGTAGAAATTTGATAAATAAATAAATTTAAACAAACAAATACATAAATATCTGGGGAGCTAATCAGATTGGTATCAGATCAGATGATAAAAATGCCATTAAAGAAGCGGAAGGGCTATAGGATCTATTGTAATTGCTGTTCTAATCATACCTAGAATGGTGGTGTTATACTAGTGTCAGAGGAATATTCCTGACATCTTAAGGCAGGGCTGTCAAACTCCCAGCCTGCGGGCTGGATGCGTCACACCCTGGCTACACCATGCCCAGTTTAGCAAGGGGGGGAAAGTCCCAATACATCACATAATGCCAATGTGACGATGTGAGTTTGACACCCCTGTCTTAGGGTATAACACATGTTTGGATCTGCTTGTTGTCTTTTGCAATTCCTTTGCTTTTGCCTTTTTTTCTGTACAAATAGGTGGGCAGACGGTAAGCACAACTGACTCTTCAACCAGCAATAGAGAGAGCGTCAAGTCTGAAGATGGTGATGAGGAGGAGCTTGCGTACCGAGGGCCTTTCTGTGGTCGTGCCAGGGTTCACACTGACTTTACCCCCAGCCCTTATGATACGGATTCTCTTAAACTTAAGGTACTTTTTATGAACTAACCAACAAATTTGAATTAAGGGATATTGCTTACAAAGGTACTGAATGTTTTCCAAATGTTCCATAGTTGGACCTATGATTTCGTAGAAAGGGCTACCTATCCAAACCTCCTTGATGCACTAGTTTCTCATTTTTACAAATGTTGAACAATAGCTTTAAAATCATTAACTGACTATTTTTAAAATGGTTAAGGAACTACTTTGTTGTAATGTAATATTTGTGTATGGATTTCTTTCTTCACATGGTTTTATATGGCTGCCCATCTGCCTAATAAAACCCTTGAGTGGTTAATGAAAATTTAAAAATATAGAATAAATATAATATAACAGTACACATCTAGAACTACAACACAAGGTGGCCACCATACACCAACACTGTGGGTTCAATTACTCTCTTGACTACCACCACCACCCCCAATGTTCAAGAAAATAGCCAGGTCTTCAGTGCTTTCTTAAAGGTGGGCAATGTCAGGTTTAAGCAAGCCTTGGCTGGTATGGTGTTCCAGAGTACAGGTGCAACTACGGAAAAGCCACATATGCTGGATCCGATTAGATGCAATCCCTGACTGATGGGCCCTTGAACATATCCATCCAGCCCTCAAAATCTGGCTATCCCGTCAGGCCTGGGGCTAAAGACTGTAACCCACCCGAATGGTATGAATGTTGTGTTTTTAATGATGTACTGTCCTACATGTTAAATGTTTGTTTCCCCCCCCCCCTTTTCGAGTTGTAAGCCGCCCTGAGTCCCCTCAGGGAAAAGGGCGGCATATAAATAAACTTCTCAATCTCAATCTCAATCTCACCTGACATAATGGGACATGTTCAAACAATGCGAGTAAGGCAGTCTCTCAAATACATTCATAGTTTCTCCCCACCCACACCTTTTTCTGGATAATTGATTATATGTCATTCATTCAAATTGGAAAAGTCATCCCAAGTAGCCAATAGTGACAGGTGATTTTTTTTGTTCCATTTATACCTTTGACCAAAAATAATTTTGATACAAATTGGTCCCATGTAAATACCTAGCCATGCCGATGATAATTTTTTTAAAAATCTATATACAGGTATGTTTTTTAAAAAAAACAGAGATGTTGTATGATCAGAATTAAAATGCTGCAGAATTAAAAAGTGAAGTCTCTTTATGTAAAGAAAAAAATTGAGTCCTCCTTTTATTTGCCTAGTTTCATATTTGTATTTTCTTTTCTCCACTACAGAAAGGTGATATTATTGATATAATTAGCAAGCCTCCCATGGGTACCTGGATGGGTCTTCTGAACAATAAAGTTGGTACTTTCAAATTCATCTATGTGGATGTGTTAAATGAAGAGGAAGAAAAGCCTAAAAGGCCCACAAGGAGGCGCCGAAAAGGAAGATTACAGCAACCCAAATCTGTTGAGGATCTCCTTGATCGCATCAATTTAAAGGTCAATTTCCATTTTCTTCCTATTTCGGGGGTCTTATAAGAAAGGCTTGTTGGCTGTCTATGTAACCAATGATGCTTATCCAATAGTTATCAGCTTCAGATACATGACAAGGGATTATCCTTTGGAATTGTTGGAATTTTGGCTCAAAATATCCAGAGGAAATTTACTCACTCCTACGTGTGAGCATTGCAGAATCCCATATAACAAGCAGGAAGTTAAAGTTAAACTTAATTCTCTGCAAATCATCTGCATTTCTAAAATTCTTTCTGCTTTCAAAATGTGAGAGAAGTTAAGAAATATTTCATTCAGAGCAACAAAATGTAGAATTTCTACAGTCCCTTGAATAGAAGTTAAGTCTAAAGTTCCTTTATTTATACAAAGGGGGGTAATATATTTGTTTGTTTATCATTTAATGTCAGGCTCCTCTCACCAAAACCACTCTGGGTGGCACACAACAATCATGTTCTAATTTGAATTGCCTTCTCATTGCTGAATGTAATTCACAGAGGAATGTGAAAATAGATTAAAAATCTGAAGTGATAGAAATGGGATCTATGTTTATCTTTAGGCAATGCTTCTTTGTCAACATTTATATTTTTGGGTTTAAAAATAAATTTTCTAATAAAATTAGTATAACATATGTGACTTTAGTCTCCTAGTCTGGTTTACCTTAGTGGGATGTTACACCATGAAATATGGTTGTTTGATTCTCCCCCCGCCCCCCCCAAAAAAAGGAAAATGCTTTCTTGTAAATTAGATCTCAGAATCTGCTTTTATGAAAATTAATATATTGTTCCTAAATCCTGGGATGATTTTAAAAAAAAGGTTTGGACCTTTTTTCTCTGTAACAACCTTTTAGTAATATAACTCCCCCTTTCCCCCCCTTGGTCTAACATTTTGAATGTATTTAATCTTTCACCATTCAGCTTAGATTTCAGGATAGCCTCTTGCTATCCTCACTTGACTTCTCAAACTTGTTCCAGTTAATCTGAATGATTCTTAACATATAATGCTTTCCCATGAATATTTTACTTAAAGTAATGTCTGGTCAACACAATAGAACTATTAGTTTTGCTGCTGCTTCCCCCAAACTGCATTTCCCTTTTTTGGAGTCACATCATATTTCTGACTCAATTTCCCAGTTTGCAGTCAACTACTACTGCCTATTTTGAGCTTCAGTTTCCATTACATAAAATCCTACTTGCTTCTGAGTTCAGTAAAATCTACATGTTGGAGTATAAATTATCTAGAAATTCCCTTGAACTCTAGTAAGTTTTCCCCCTTTGTGTTCTACTATTTTCACTTCTACTAAGACTTCTGCATTAGTTAGTATCCAAGATCAAAGACAGATTATCTTCTTATACCCTTCTTTGATATTTATTGATTTATTTAGATTTATTGTCTGCCCATTGAACTCTAACAAAGTTCTTGGGAAAATAAGTCACAAAGATCCTAAAAGAGCTATCTTTGACACAATTTGTCTCCCAACACTTATTAAAGTAGTTTAAACCTCCCAATACTATGACTTCGTGTCTCTTTCAAAGACGGTATCTATCCTCACAGTTAGGAAGGTAATGATATTTTATTTATGTTATATTTTTACTCACATGCTCTCACATGAACATGTTTAACTCCTCTTCTATTGCTTTTGTTCCTTTTGAACAAATTGTATTGTTGTATATGGTACCTGTCATGGAAGTCAACTCACCCAGTCTACATTATACGTATTAAATCAGATTTGCCTTCCTGTACCAAAGGTTCAAACTGATCTTCTTTATTTCCTATCTTCTCATCATTAATTTAGAGTGGTTTAATATCCCATGTGAAAAGTATTCCTCTTTCTTTTCAGAGTGCAGAAAACTTGTTCTGAAGCTTTACTTAAGGGTTTTACTTGTCAACTCCCAGTGGATTTGGTTTAAAGCTCTCCCCAATAAGGTTCAATGTATTTCAGCCAAATTGCAATCCTTTTCTTACCAAACCTTGAGGTGCAACATATTTCATGCCAGCAGTTGATTTTCTAGAGAATGCATTCATAGCCCTAGAAATTATTTGAATAGCTGGTGATCCATTTCCAGTATTCTTGTTTTCCTCCTCAGTCCCCCTCATTACCTAACACTAAAATTATCGATTCCAGATAATTAAGCCTGGATTCAACTCTTATGGATTTTATTTAATAAACATTTTTAAATTTGTTTTGCTTCATGCTTATTATCAGATGGAGTTTACAAACTTATTTCTTTTTATCATTTTCCTGCTCTGCTATTAAAGTGGAGTAACTTTTTAAAAGCAAGCTGATTTTAGATGATTGGATTCTCAATTCCACAGCAGGAATAATGTGCCCAATTTAGTGGATAATACTGCCTGTGGTTAAATCTCTACAGATGTTCTGTGATCACATATTGTGTTTTCTGAGTATATAGCATCCTTGTTATTTTATATTATCAATAATTCCATTTGTTTTCTCTCCTAAATTGCTTGATAAGCTATTTGTCACAGTTTTGTTTACAGAATTATTTATTGATGCATAGTTTTTAATTTACTTTTCTAGAAAGATTTATTATATCTCCTTTGCTTTTGTTTTGTTTAAGATCTGTTTGACGTTAAGACTCTGAAAGAGCCAGGAATAAATTAAGCTATTCAATGAATAATTCCGTCTGCTCAGCAAGGATGGATAGATGGACTCGGTCTCAGATTTTTTCTATAATCAAGTGTGGCTCTTCCAAACATCATTAAAATGTAATCATAGCTAAAAGTTTGACTGTAAAAAAAGGCAGACAAATCATTAAACAAAACAAAGGTTTACAGGAGAGTGAAAGCAAGAATTCCAAAGATATTAAAACATTATAGCCATTGGGAAGGCTGCAAGGATCAAATGTCTAAGGAAAGAGATGGTAGGCCTTTTGAAAAGAGAATTCCAACATCAATGAGACAATAATCCAACTGTGGAGCAGTGAAGAAAAGCAAACTTTTTGAGAAGCTGTTACCTGTCTCCCCAAAGCCCTCTTACTTTTTTTTTTATTGCCAGTAAAGCTTCTTGAATAGAAGAGAGCAATTGCTAACAGCTGGGCTTCTGGCAGGAAAGATTTTTTTTTATTACAGCAGCTGTCTAAAATAAATCCATAGTCTCCATTCTGAGCTATAATATGTGCAACTATCTCACTCTAGAGGTATCTCAGCAATCTTGCCCTAACTAAAACACACTCAGGTGGAACATGCCCAGGCTACCATCATTTTTTCTTCTCCTCATTATCATCCTTGAAAGGTAATTCTTCATAAAAGATAGACTACTCTTCGTATGCAACAAATGTCTCTTCATTTCTTCTTGTAGATTTTATTCAGTCAAAAAACGAGGAGGAAATGCAAAGATTTTTTTTTATATTTCAAATAAATAGGAGCACATTATGCATGATGTTTATATAAAATATATGCTGTATTTCTTTTTGACCTGACTGAATAGGTTTTCAAATTTTCATTGTTTTTTTTAGAAAAATCAAGACTAGTTGCAGCCATCTCTGCCTACAGTATTTGCATGTAACTAAAGCCTGTGTGATGATGCCTGCTTCCAATGAAGAAAGAGTTAATGTATTTGACTGTGTGGTCAAGTTGATGTTGACTCTTAGCAATCACATAAAGGTAGTCCTCAGCCTATGGCCAGTCTCTTAGCAACCATTTATGTCACACTCTGGAAAAGTTACTTATGGCCCAGATTCAATGTTCCAATGGACACCATCCCCGAAGTCACATAAACACATTTTAGTGCTCAATAACTGGCCACCATTTATGGCAATGTTCTGTGGTTGCATGACCATCATTTACTATGTTTTTGCCTGAAACCAGTATTTACTTCTGATTTCTAGCAGGAAAGCTGAATGACCGTTGGCTTACCTGAACGGTCATTCTCTGGGCACTGCAGGAGAGTCCAAGCATGGGTTAAATTCAGTCTATTTGCCCAACGACTGAGTTAATTTTCTTAGCCACGCCTCCTCTCCTAATTGAGGATCAGTTCAAAAACGAAGGCGTTGGTCTGTAACGGACGTCTGCATGATGTGTCTTCCAGTTATGTTCAAGTGTCTTTGCTCCACACTGCTGAAGTGATCCCGAAGAAAGGGAGTAAACCCCGGGCGGGGTTGGACTCTCCCACAACGCCCAGAGAACGACCGTTCAGGTAAGCCAACGGTCATTCTCCTGTGCACTGCTTGGAGAATCCAAGCATGGGACATACCCAAGCTATGCAGTCCCAGGGAGGGAAACCGAAACATCCAAGATACGTGGAGTCGCTACAACCTGTTGTAACACCCTCCTCCCAAAGGTGGCCTCGGCTGCGGCGTAGGAGTCAATGTGATAGTATTTAATGAATAAGGTTGGAGAAGTCCATGTAGCTGCCCAACATATTTTCTCCATGGGACCCTGTGTCGCCCACGCGGCCATGGTGGCAGCACTCCTTGTAGAGTGTGCCGTTACTCTAGGTGGTACTGCTTTGCCCTATTGTAGGTAGGCCAACTTAATACAAGCCCTCAGCCAGCGACCAATAGTAGAAGGAGAAACCTTCCGTCCCATTGAGCCTGGCTGAAAGGAGATGAAAAGTGATTCGGATCAGCGAAAACCCTCCATCCTTTTGCTGTACCTGCGGACCGTCCGCCGAACATCTAGCTTGTGCCAGGTGTGCTCTTTGGGATACAGAGGATGAGGGCAGAAGTTAGGGAGCACTACTTCTTGAATCCTGTGAAACAGAGAGTTCACTTTCGGCAGAAAGGCCGGATCTAACTGGATAATGATATGGTCAGCATGAAATATACACACGTCCTCACGAACCGAGAGAGCTGCCAGCTCCGACACCCTCCTGGCCGATGTAATGGCTATGAGGAAAACAGTTTTCAAGGTCAGATGCCGAAGACCAATGGACTGGATCGGCTCAAATGGAGTTTGGATGAGAGCTCTGAGAACAAGGGGAAGGTCCCATGTGGGAAACCTATGAACAGTAGGTGGATGTAAGTTGGAAG